GGCACTTTAGATCCCTGAGTTGGCACATCCTGGAATCAGGGTGCAAGACATTCCCGTTGAGTTCACACGTTTCTGTTGCCTGCTCCTATCTTAAGCCTTAAACCTTAAAGCTGTTTGTGGACTCCAAAAGATGCCATAAAAACTGTGAACTGTCATACACTAGACTTGTTTTGTTTGCAGTGTTTATTCTGTACAATCAGCCAAAGTGTAAGTGTACAGTGCCTTAGAATGTACTCATTACTTCTGCTTAGGTCTAACGTTGGTTTTGTGAGTGAAACGGGCAAAAACAATATGCTACTGCTACAATGTCTTAAATTACACTTCATCAAATCAGTGCACTCCTAGAAATCCTTGTTTTTAAGAGGCAGTGCACTTATGTTCAGATAGATTTGTAAGCCAGGAGAAGAGTTTCTAATCATTTTCTATGAGTGTAATACAAACACATAACAGCTGCCTTTCCTGTTGTACAAGACCAAAAAGAATCGGGAGAATCTCTTGTAGTGTTCTGTTTGGTAGCGAGGAAGTGCCTTTGGTTTCAAATTTCCAGCTTCAAAAAGATTAAACATTAAAAAAAAAAAAAATCAATGTTGCTAAACCAAATATAGGACACAAGTGACACCAATCACCACATTGCCTTTTTTTAAAGGACTGAGGATTGATTGACAGCAGGAGAAATATAGATAATGGATAAACAATTCTTAATTAGGATATTAATCGGGTTTTTTTTTTTTTTTTAAATGTTAGAAGAAAATTGATTTCCTCGCTTTAGACTTTCATTTTTAGACCCTGCCAACTGCAAGCAGAACGCAAAAACACAGAAGCAGTATGTTTAGTGCACACTTGCAGGTTCAAGTGTTTGCAAGCAGATTGTTAGAAAAACTGCGGTTGTCTTGTTGCAGTGACCGCTCTTTGAGACACGGGGAATATTTGGGTTGGGGGGGGGGGGAACAAACTGTTGGGTTTTCCTTTAGTGATGCAGACACAATTGTGTTGCTCTTAGATAAAAGTTTATTTAACAGCATGAAATCTAAAATCACATGCAGGACTGTTTTCTAGTTAAACTGGGATTTGTGTCCAAACTTTTTCTTTTTTTTTTTTTACAGCTGCTGCTGCAGCAGTATGAGTGGATCATCAAAGCTAATACTTAGACTATAAGGATCTTAATTACTTAAACATTTTACAGTTTCTTACAGAGATTTTATTCAGTTGGAAGAACTTTAATAAAAGAATTATTAAATAATTACAGACAATATCTCTGGAGGATGCAGTTATTTAGTTCAGTATTTTGTGTTACGTTTACCCTGTGTATCTTTTCACATTTATTGATCACACTCTGTAGTGAAGTGTTTCTTTTCTTCTTGTGCCTGTATGCTTTGTCCTGTGATGACATCGTCTGTATGCTGAGGCTCATTCTGATGGTAATGTTGTCACTGCTGCACTGCTGACATATAAACACTAAAACCGCAGGACTGATGGCTCCGATGGGACTAACGTCTGCTGGACTGTTTTTAAGGGAAAATAGACAGACGCGCATAAAGAGCCGTTTTCAATCATGCTACAAACATATCAGCAGTTTGGCTCTTATTTGTATTTTTGATTTTCATACGGGGTACTGGTACCTTTCTGTTGTGTGATCATCCCTGACGATGATGGCTTTAAAGTGACTTTTGAAATGACTCACGTTCACTCACTTTGGTTTATGTGTGCAGATCTTTGTTGTTCTTTTGTATAAAGGTGTTTTGTATAAAAGTATATCTTAGCCTTTTCTTGGTACAGATGTGTGATATGTTTTCCTACTCATCAGCGTAAAGTGGTTGGAGCAACGGAGAGAAAAGAAGCTGTGTCGTTTCCCGTGTTCTTCTCATGGTCTTGTCTTTGCTTCGTGACATTTTGATGCCTTCTTGACAACACTAGATATTTTGTAGCTTTCTAGATACTTTCTATGTATGCAACATCAAAGTTTAATAAATCTAAAAGAAACAATGGCTCCTGCTTTTTTCACTTGGATGCAGGCACATCATAATACTGGTTCATTTGAATACTAGCAAAATGTGGGGGTTTTTTTAACTGTTTTTTTGTAAAAGGTGAATAAGTTCATTACACATAGAATGGTATAGTTTAACTGGATTTTTTTTTATTATTACGTCTTACAGTAATTCCTACACACACACACACACACACACACACACACACACATCCTTTATTTAATAAAAATGAAAAGTACATCAGACAAAAATGTTTTTTTTCTTGTTTGTTTCAGAAATGTTAGGGTTTTTTTAACATGTAGGTGTCTTTGTGATTTCTACACAACCATGAAGAAGATGGCTGACATATTTGTCCAGCAGACAGTCATATGGTGTGAGCCACAGAGGTTTTCTCTAAAAAAAAAAAAATGCTGTTCAGAGTTCTGTATCTAAGCTATTAAAGAAAAGTTGAATGGAACAAAAGATGTGGTAGACAGAGATACCCAAACAGAGAGGACTGCTGCCTTGTGAGAATTGTAAAGTCAAAGCAATAGTTTAGGGGAGATGCAACATCATTGGTGTTAGTCCACTGTGATCCACCAAGTCCCAAAGCAGCACAATTGTCCAACAAGAGATTTGAGATTACCTCATCCTTTCTTCTTCTCCTAAACTTTCTGGAGATGTTAGTTTTCCAATACCTGCCATCATTACCTGAATCTGGTTTGATGACTGTAGGGTCACTGTGGTCAGTTAACCAGCAAGCATGTCTGACTTAAGCCTGAAGGAGAATTATGGGGATTGTCGGGATGAAGATGAGACACCAGCCCCACCGACGTAAAGGAGGTTGATGGTGTCAATCGGCCAATTCATTGGCCGATTGCCTCCCAACATGTTGCACTGACGTATTAGAGCCCTAATGCAAAATTAGCCCAAAGTATTGAGTCAGCAGCTTTTTATTAATATCATTTAATTTAGTAGTTTTCTGTGAAACAGAATTCTGGATTTTTGTCAGCTGTAATACATCATCATCATCACCAAAATGAACAGAAATAAAAGCTTGAAATATACCACTCTATGTGTATTAAATCACATTTTTGCATTAAATTACTGAAATAAATATAACTTTTTAGTTTATCTATCAAGATGTGTCTATGAAATGTCATGTTTGAATCATGAACCTCTACTATGGATCACCTCCTCAGCAGTCCTACACAATCTTAGAAAGTCTGGGATGTTAAGTATTTTCCAGTCGTGCATATTTATTGAAAAAGAAAAGTGTGTATGAGAAACTTTTGCTTTTCCAGATTTTATTCTCTCTTTTATTATAAATGTATTGAAACATTTCTAAAGCACGTTGTGTTAACCATTGTTTTAATGCTATGTTTTAAATAAAAGATTGACACACAGAGATTGTATTTTTATCCTTCTGTCAATCTGTCCTTCCACCAATCCATGCCATCCGTTCATCCAGCCCGTCATAATGTGGCTTTTTGTAGGTTCTGTGTTTAAACACTGTAGTTGTATAAAACTCATAGTAGAAATTCATATTTATACATTTTTATTTATTTATTGCTATGAAATTTTAACTCAAAGGATGAAATTGTGGAAATTTTACATTTTAACTGAACTATCCTCACATCAACAGCAGAGGGCGGTGTTGCTTTATCTCCCCGGGGAGATGTGAAGCGTTTATCACCAAGATGAGAGAGATCGCCACCAGAGGGAGATGCAATGGGTTCAAAAGCGAACATTGAGCACTAAAATAATGAATGTAGTTAAAGCAGTCATGGCAAGTCCAAGACCTGATAGAAGTGAACAATAATAGTTGGAATATTCTCAGACAGTTCCTTCAGAATAAAAAGAAATCACTTTTTTTTTTTTTACCCATTCCTGGAAAGAATCGTATGAATCCTCCTTATCCTTATGTGAAATATGAGACAGGATGGTTCATGAACATAGATTACCTCAAGATGATGGCCACATATGAAGGGGAAATTTTGTTTTGCACTGGTTCTCTTAAATAAAGCACCCTGTAGATATTCGTCACACTTTAGCGATCAACTTGTAGGTCCAAAATATATATATTTTTTGTGAACAAGAATCAGACTGAGCGCTTGTTTTGCATTTAGCTCGTTCTACATTAACATTGTAAAGCCAAATCTTTGAAAACAATTAACAGAGAGGCTGTCCTTATTTGGCTTTGTAGCTTTTTCTATAATTTTAGATTATAGGACAACTAAGATCTGAAATATTACATTTTATTAAACAAGTAAAGCGTGAACAAACTTTTGTCATTTGTTATCAATTTGTTATCGATGTGTTAAGAATAAAACTGTTTTGGATTAACTTAACTTGCACATAAGTGCAACATGTAAACATACACTTAGTTTCCATAGATTAGCCATTTTTTTTAAAAGTCTCCATTCAGCTACAGTTCAGTTAACTTCTGTCTTGGTTGAGGTCACACTATGACTTAAATTTCTTACCGTGCCTGTCTGGATCCTCCTTCATAACTTGGCTCAGTCCATATTGAAAAGTTGCACACAGCACATGACTGCAAGAGAAAATTTAGAAGTCACAGAAATATCTCTAAATCCACAATATACACATTTACAGCTTTCACTTCCCAAAACACTACAGGCCAAATGTTCTATATAATTTCTGCACAATGTGCAAACAAATAAAAAGGAAAGTTGAAATAGAGGAAAGATCAGAGATCATTTAAGACAGAAAGGGGAATAATAAAGACCCACTGGAAGGATTCATAATAACTCCAGATGAGCATTCTTACATCCAGGTAGGAATGTATTCATTCTTACGTGTGTACAATATAGTAAAAACTCTCATTGTTAAAGAGAAGCGCAGAAGGACACTTCTCTAAATAATCTCTAAGAATTATCATATCCCACCTGGATCTCTTTGGCCATTTTGGGGGGAAATGATCTGTGGACTGAAAAGACTTTTTTTGTTATCGTTGTTTGTTAAAACACAGATTCCAAAGGGTGTAAGAAATTGCATAATTTCTTACATGTGTGTTCAGGACGTATTGTGCAAAAATAAAAGTTTGATGTTAAGAGTTTCCAACGAGAAAAGATCCATGCAATGAAACTACTCTGAGCTTGAAGTAGCACAATAAAACCCTTGAATATGTTTAAAATGGAAATAAGGATTCATCCTATGACCTGTTTTGGCTCCTCCTCTTAAATCAGCGGCAAATAAAACAGTTAAGCTCAATATGGAGCCGTTTGGCTGACAAGCGGTCACGTGATCTCAGCCGAAGCAGTCGGCACTCTTAAACGTGCACAAAAGTTTCCCCCTTAGTGGACCAAAGGAACACACACAGGGGAACACATGAGACTCCCATCATCCAGCTCCAAACTTCAAACTTCTCCGATCCGTCTGGAGGCGCTCCACGAACGGACCTTGATGCGCATTTTTCTTTGACCGATGTCAGTAGTGCTTTTCCTTCCTTACTTTTTCTTTTAGAAGAGAGATTAGCATATATATTTGACTATGGGGTCTCCCTCAGCTCCAGAGGAGAGAAAGATTTCTGTGTGGGTCTGCCGAGAGGAGAAGCTGGTCCTCGGCTTGTCAAAGCGCAACACCTGCGCTGATGTCGTGAAAGTGCTCCTGGAGGAGCAGTGCGCGCAAACCGGCCTTTCCACGGCGGACTCCTACTGCATCGTGGAGAAATGGAGGGGCTTCGAGAGAATTTTACCGAACAAGACCAAACTTTTAAAGCTGTGGCTCGCGTGGGGAGACGAGCGGAAAAACGTCAAGTTTCTGCTGGTGAAAACAGACGCCTCTTTGGAGAACCGCAGGGCCCGGAGCGCAGAGGCGCGTGTGGTGCCGAGCAAGCAGAGCCCCTGCATCACCAAAGGGTCTCCGAGGTCCAACATGGCCTGCATCTCGCCGGAGAAACAGCGTCGGATTGTGAGGAAAGCTTTCAGAAAGCTGGAGAAGATCAACAGGAAGAGGACGCGCGCGGCGCACAGAGACGCATCCAGTGCAGAGAAGATGGAGACTTTGGTTCATCTTGTTGTGTCTCAGGACCACACAATCCGACAGCAGGTTCAGAGGATCACAGAACTGGACTCAGAGATCGAAAGGTGTGAGGCAAAGGTGCATCTGGACAGAATTAAAAGACACGGGGTCAATTACGTGCAGAACACGTATCTGGGCGCAGTTTACGTCCCAGCGCAGGAAGGAAAGGGACTTTACTCACAAGAGACGTTTGCCAAACTTGAAGAGTATGCTCGGCAGTGCGAGGAGGTGCTGAAGCTACAAGAGGACCTTTCTGAACAGGAGGCCCTGATGGATACGATCACAACTCGCATTCAGGAGGAGCTGAACCTCCGCTGGATGCAGCGCAGGAAGGAGGATTTGCGCATCAAACGGTCCTCATCTCTCTCCTCCTCCCAGGAAGACTCAGCGTCGCAAAGCGCGCAATTTATGGAGGAAGAGAGGATCAAAACGCAGCTAGATGCGAGCTTATACATCGGCCTGCGACTCAACGCGGATTTAGAGGTTATTAGGGGCGATTTAGAGCTGTCCCAGCAGATTGGCGCTGCCAGGGAGAAGGAAATGAGGGATTTGCTGGACAAAGTGAACAGTATAGACATGGAGAAGGAGGACGCCGATGAAAAGACGCGCCACGGGACGGATGACAAGGAGACCATGACTGACACTTTGGAAGGGGAAAGCGAGTGGGTGGAGCAAGCGAGAGGTCTGTCTAAAACAGAAAATGTGAACGACGACGACTCAGACACAGGCTTAAGTTCTCTGCACAGTCAGGACTCAGACGGCCTCCCAGTGTGGGAATCACTGGTTTGAGATTTTACAAGAAAAGTGGCTCATATAGAGGCATTGTGTTCA